GAGTGTAAAAATGTAAAGGGTGGGGGTGCACTTCAAATTTAATTTACCATACATCTGAGCATTTGAGATATTGTATATAATTAGTATTACAAATATATTTCCACCTTGTAACCTTAGATATTTCATGTGGTATGTGTAATTGGGGTTAGTACGCTAAGTATCTTACTCGTCAAGCAATGCCGGGTTCAGAGTCCTCACCTGTTCGCCTAGCAATCAACAATATACAATTTTAATGCCAAATTGTGTGCCAACATGCAAAATGGACTCTGCACAGGTTGTGCACTACCTTTTCATTTCATGCTGGGTGAACATTATCGTGATGATAGCAAAAAAAAACATATTCACAACTAATGTGTCCTCTTTTACTACTTTTGTAATTGTCTTGTTCCATGACCTAAATAAGCTAACACACTTAGTAGCTCATGCTTATCTTTCAACCGGCACATTAGCAATGGCCGGCCCATTTTTCTTTATAGTGGTGTCAGGTGTGCAAGTTATTCAATAGGGTACTAACCTTGTATACAGGGCGTTATAGAATTAAAAAAAATCTGGGCAGGATGTTACAAGGCCATCGGAAGTAAATCAATATTGGGGGGACTCAAGAATATATCTTAATAAATTTTAATTGCTTTTGCACTTTTCTAGTTATTTTGTGTGTTTTGCTTATACAAATGGAAATTTTAGGGGGGGGGGGCTCAAGCCCCCCACTTCTGACGGCCTTGTGTTACATGTGAAATTGCCAGCTGCCATTAATAGTTTGCAGAATTGTGAAAAATAAATCAATGCTGTAGATGGCAAATTTGTTTAAACAACATACACTGCAACAAATCATGATACAGACAAGCACATCCTGTATATGAGGCTTGCTAAGATGTGTAACAAACATTATTATACATTGTAGTTGGTAAAAGCAATTTGATTGGCTAAGAGCTAACAGTTAAATCGCGCAATCACGCAACCTACACAAAATTCAGTTATCTGCTAGCAGATAACTCAGTTATCTGCTAGCAGATAACTGAATTTTGTGTTAGGTTGCGTGAAATTGAATGAGTGTACATTTCAAATGAGTGTACATTTCAAATGAGTGTACATTTCAATTTTCAAATGAATGTACATTTCATAATTGTAATGTTTACTTTAACAAGTAAATATTTTAATACGTTAACATCTTAACGATAATATGTTTCTTTTATATTTGTAATTAATTTAACTGTTGGACTTCCGGAGACTTGTTTATAAAAACGTTTTACTTGAACATCTTTGCCAGAAATCATATTGAATCATATAGTATTAAAATACTATGTGTATTATTCTTCAAATGTATAATAAAACAATTATTGAATTCGGTTTTTGCGATATGCAAAATTATCAAGGTCTCGGTAAGCGTTATCAACCTCGCCTTCGGCTCGGCTGATAACGCTTACCTCGACCTTGATAATTCCGCATATCACAAAAACCTCATCCAATAATTGTTAATTATCCCGAGTTTGTCGGTTAACCGAGTCAAATCCGAGTCCGAGTCAAATCAGAGCCCGAGTCAAATGTCCGAGTCACTGTTCCGAGTCAAATCCAAGTCAACTAGCGTCCGAGTCACTGTTTAGCTGTCTTTGTCGGTTTAATGATTTAATTAGATTCGGCTAATATAACGCCAGGGAGTTCGCCACAGGTTTCCCCAATTACGGCGACCCCATAATTAACTTTACGTTTACAATAATTTTAACAGTCGAAACGAACTAATTTAAGACAAAATACAATCGGTGCAAGAGACAACTAACAACAACTTAAAACACCATCAAGGGACCTAGCCTTTTACATTTAACGCACACAGATTTCCAAGTTCGCGGATCGTCATAGTTATAAATATTAGATAGCGCGTATTTGTAGTACGTCTTTAGTCCAGATTTGAAAGCTTGCAGGCCAATATCTCTATTACGGAGGTCACTATTTAAAACGTTCCACGTTTTACACGCTCTAATAAGATATGAAGACTGGTATGTTACAGTTTTAGCAAACGGTATTACAAATCTAATTACGTTTTCATTGGTTTCACGTCTGGTTATTCCTGATTCAGCTATTATTGGTAGAGCACTCTCATCAATATAGGTATAGTTGTTAATTAACTTATAGAGTAAAACCATGTCCAAATATTCATGCCAATAAGTTATTGGTAGTAACTCCAGTTGATGTAATCTGGTTATGTACGAGACATCGGTGGTAAACCCAAGATTTAAGATGTATTTCGTTGCTCTTCTCTGCACCTTCTCGATGTCTTCGATTAACTTAATGGATTGTGGGCACCATACTTGGGATGCATAACCAAAATTGCTGCGTACGAGTTGTAAATACAGAAGCCTCCTCGCGTTGATAACAGTCATCTCCGCGGTAGATCGTCTAATTAGCCCGAGCATTTGGTTGGCTTTCGACCGTACTTTATTTACTTGATCGTTCCATAATAGCTTAGGACTAATGGTGATACCCAGATCAACCTGTGCGTTGGAAACCAACAACTGATCATTGTCAAGCTTATAGGGATAAATTAAAGGCGATTTCTTTCTGGTTATTGACAACACTTTACACTTAGATTGGTTAAAGCGTAGCCGGTTTTCTATCGACCAACAAAGTAGGCCTTGAATATCATCTTGCAAGACCAATGCATCACAGGGATTCTGCACACATCTGTAAAGTTTGGTATCGTCAGCAAACAAACCGACCCCAGTGGAAGTGGATATGTTGTTAGGTAAGTCATTGATGTATACTGAGAAGAGAAAGGGACCCAGCAACGATCCTTGTGGGACTCCAGATGTGATTGGCAGAGACGTAGACGTAGCACCGTGTACAGTTACCCGTTGGAAGCGACCTGATAAATAGTTTTGAAACCATAGCAAGAGAGAACCAGAGAAGCCGAAATCGTGAAGTTTTTGTAAAAGTATGGAATGGTCAACGCTATCGAAGGCCTTACAAATATCCATGAAAACAACATCAGTTTGTAAACCCTGATCCAAGTTTTTCCCAATAGTGTTTAAAATTGACAATAACTGAGCTGTACTTGATCTTCCGTTGACGAAACCATACTGCGCCGAATGAATGTTGGACTGTATACGGTGCGATAAATGGTTGAGGACACAACGTTCAAGAGTCTTGCTTATGATACACAACAGAGAAATGGGACGGTAGTTTTCAACGTGATCTTTGTTTCCTTTCTTGAGTAGAGGAATTATATTAGCTAATTTCCATTCGGTGGGAACCTGTGATAAACGGAGTGACTTTGAAAACAAGTAATGAAGTGAAGGTGCTAATTGGAGGGCACATTCCTTTAAAATGCGGGAAGGAAACCCGTCAGGACCATGAGCCTTAGAAGGATCTAAGTTCAGTAAGGCTTGATATACTTCTTCTCTTCTAGAGAGAGGTCAATGGATGAGATGCTGGATAAAGGAGATGATGAACCAGATTGAGATGGCGGGGGTTGGTCAGAGAAACATGTGTAGACAGAATGAAAGTACTCGTTAAACGTTGTTGCAATGTCGTGTGGTGTGTTAGCATGTAATCTAGTCCCAGGATTGTTGGTATCCGACCTTGTGACGGAGTTGGGTATATTTCCAGAACTTGACTTGATTTTGAAAACCGACCAAAAACGTTTTGGGTTGATTTGTATAGTGTTTCCTAATGACGAGAAAAATGACTCTGCTATTTTGAATCATTTTTTTAACTTCAGCTCTCAGTTTGTTAAACTTCGCCTTAAGATAATCAGTTCCACGGCTAAGGAATCTCTTACGGGCAGTAACCTTTTTACGAATATGATGCAAGATGGTAGCTGTTATCCAAGGTGGTGAGCGTTGAATAGCAACTGCCTCCAAATTCGTAGTAGCAATGGAAGTAACCTGACTGCAGCTGATGAAAATACCGTGTTTGATAGCTATCAGTGTTCCTTGACGGTTCAATGACTTAGTACCCTAACTCTACTCCAAACACTATTCGATCGCGACTGTGAATTTTATTGAATTTCTTTTCTTTTTTACGTGACTCGGGCTCGGAATTGACTTGGTAAATGGATTTACTCTAACGTCATGGTAATTGACAAGGGGCGGGCCCCAACCCATTTTAATTAAAACCTTCAGCTGCGTAGGTTTAATTGTCACAAGGAAAAAGCGACGAAACTCCCAACTTGGGAACTGCATGGGTTTCTAGAAGGACAGCTTGGAAGTGCTATAGAGTCATCAAGTGTAAAGCTAGTTTAGTTTAGTTGAGGTTTCGTTCTGTAGAAAGTCCTTACATTGAACTCGTATATGAGAAGAAGGTTAGAGCGACACTCTAAATATTGCCCACATTCCAGGGAGAAAAATACCCAGATACTCAGGTTATTGGCCCTCTGTTCTCTCAACTCAAATGACAGAAAATCTCTGCCCTTTTGCCAGTCACCGAAATGTTTTTAAATCTTCTGAAACAAGTCCACGATTTTGATCATGTCAGATCATTCTAATTCACAAGATTATAAACGCCATTTGGCTTAATAATTAGGCAATTATATAAAATTAGGCAATTGTCTCTCCTGCACCCCCTCCCCCCGCTGCGTACGGCCCTGATAGGGTGTAAAGCTCTGAACATTTATCTTGCACGTCCTCAACCTCGCTGCCAACTTTTGTGCAACTCTTGTTCTCGTTTGACTGAGCCACGAGAGTTGAGGGAACTCTCATACAAATCCTCGTTTGCCAACCGTTCTCGTTTGATGAGAGTTTCTTCAGCTCTCGTGGTTCGGCTCGCGAGCTTTTTAAAGACTTTCTTCGCTTTTTCACACAATTCAAAGACTTTTCAAAACCCCTAAAGGATCTGCATTCAAATTTAAATTAAGACTTTCAAGGATTTCAAAGACCGCTGCAAACCCTGTCTAGTTGACAATGGATAACAAATGTTTGACCTTAACCTCTTCTAAATTCATGTGCCCTAATTGACCATTTGCGTAATAGACTAAATTTTGATCTAGACAAATATTTCATCACAGCTTGAAAGAGCATCGCAAAATTAGTAATATTCCAAAGTTTCGTTGCGAAATGTTGTAAAATGCGAATAATATAGCCTTGCGAAGTTTGCAATTTTCAGTCATTTTAGATTACAAACGGGAAATTGACAGCCCGATACGCTTTGAGGCTGTCAATTTCGCGTTTGCAATCTAAAATGACTGAAAATTGCAAAATTCGCAAGGCTATATTATCCGCATTTTACAACATTTCGCAACGAAATTTTGGAATATTACTAATTTTGTGATGCTCTTTCAAGCTGTGATGAAATGTTTGTCTAGATTTGTTGAGATCTAAATTTTGTCTATTACGCAAATGGTCAATTGCATTAAAACTGTGGGTTTAATAAGCGACTACATTACAGTACATCAAATTACTGAAAGGATTGCCAATCAGCAGCTTCCCACGATGAAACAAGGCAGTTGCAACGCACTTGAATTCTCCAGTTCCACTGTTTGCAAACACTTCACGAATGTCGTCGACTTTAAAAGGTACTTTGCTACCTTCAACCTTACTTAATTTCACTTGTAGCACAGCGCCCGGACAAGGTTTGGTAAAGTTTGCGCTGTAATCAAGATAGGCAAAGTTTGAGACTCCAAGCCACAGATCGCCGTTTTCATCAACATCGATGTTATCCAATCCTACACCTGTCTTGATTCGCTAGGAAGAAAAATAGATAGACAGTAAATACAGGGCCATAACTAGACGCGATAATTGGGGGGGGGGTAAATCAGATATTCATCTTCACATACGGCACCGTAAAACAATCGCTTCAAAAGAAGTCGGGCAGAATATATGACCCAATTATCGCGTCTAGGAACGGCCCTGAGTAAATAGGTGACTGGGTAAGTAGGGGTTTGTGCTAATTATGCTAATTATCCTTACTAGCTTGCAGCTGAGAGCTAAGCTGAATTACGAATGATGCAGTTCAACATGGTTCAGTGGAAGATTTAATTACTAAGGACACATTTGGCAGCCGGCCTTATAATTAAATGACTCATTTCTGAAATTCTGATCACAGAGCACATGCAGTACAGCAGTAGTCTCCCACGCAGCCGCTCTTTAATAAGGAGCGGCTGCGTGGGAGACTACACATGCAGCTACAGTGGAAAGGGTCAGTTTGGGATTATCCCAACCAAATCGGTAGTTGTAGAATATCGTAGCCACTTAATTAATTTGCCCCCTCTGCATCATCCCCCCCCGCCCCCCTCGGTGGAAAATAAGCAATAACTTGCAAGATAAACACTTTTAAATTTCTAACAGAGGGGTGCAATATATACATACCTGCTGCTCAATCAAATCGTTCTTATCAGTACGTTCAAAAATCACCACCTCGCCTGCAAGTCCAGATACGACAAAAACGTATCTAAATAATATTGACAAACGTTATAATTAAACTATGTCCATTATGTACTGCAACGCACCATACATGCTTATTTAGTTATTTTACTCTCCAGGGTGCGTTACTATTCGCATTCTTGACTTACGTATCATCCATCTGTCCACTTACTTTTCACTTGCATCGATGTTGATTCCGTTTGCCATTTGAAAATGTTCTGCAACAGACTTTGCATGTGAACCATCAGAAAAGACAACATTCGATAACTTTAATGGATAAAATCCTTCCACCAAACCCAATAAAGTATTGTGAAAGTAACGATCATTTGTAGTATAGAAACTGTCAGGTCCTGGACAACAAAGAGTGCATTTTATAGCTATGCTTTATTGTCAATTCCACGTTTTGAATCTACTACACAACTGAGCGTGTTATATTAGACTTAAGGACAGGCCATATGTGATGTGTTAAAGACAGACTATATATGAAAAAGCGAAAAAGATTGCAAAGGGGAAAACGAAAGAAAATAAAATCTTGCAAAGCAGAAAGCATAAAAATGTTTAAAATACTGGGAAAAAATCCTGCACAGATAGATGGCTGAAAAATTCAAGCATGTTGAAAATCTCCCCCCAAAACACTTTTCTAATGGTTTAACACTTAGAGAGGTATAATGTCAACTACATCAATGACATCAGTTTAAAAAGTTCAGTGTCTGTAACTAAAAACAGGTCATTAAGTTAAACATTCTAAATAGGATGTTAGGGTTTGTAATCCAAGTGAGAATATATACATTTTAAGACCTAACCAGGAACAACTGCAAAAAATGCAGCACAAGGTCCTCTGGTAGGAATCGAACCTACGGCCCTGCGATTCCGGAGCAGCGCTCTAACCAACTGAGCTACAGAGGCCAGCTGTTGAGCTGTAACCGTAAGTTCACGTATATATAGGTAATCGGGTGTGCAGGTTGTGATAAGGTGGACTTGAATAACTTAGTTCTTGCACTTCACTTGGTGGAATTAATATTAGGATGTTAGGGTTTGTAATCCAAGTGAGAATATATACATTTTAAGACCTAACCAGGAACGACTGCGAAAAATGCAGCACAACAGCTGGCCTCTGCAGACCTCCAAGTGAGCTTGGATTACAAACCCTAACATCCTAATATTAATTCCACCAAGTGAAGTGCAAGAACTAAGTTATTCATTAACATTCTACATGATCTAATAACAACACTGATTAAACACTGTCTTCCACATACCTACAGCCACAACATCGTTTGGAGAAGATATCTTTTCATCAACAACTGTCTTCCTATGTTTTAGCACCATATTTGCGTGATCGAATTGGAAAATCTCAATACTATGTTGTCCTGCACCATGATTCACAACAAACAAACTGACTTCTTGAGTTTTTGGGTCAATGTAAAAATCAATTCCATGAGGCATAAATTCCGAGTCATCAAAATTTTCATACGATAGCGGTGTGGGTTTCGCTTCAGGGTTATTCAGGTCGAAGGTATAGAGTATTCCTTTAAAGTGATGCATGGCTGGGTCAACTCCAGAGGGGTTCATATGAAAATGTAGTCCCTGTAAAATAGAAAAACTCATGAGTTAAACATGATTTTACTTTATATTTCGCCATGTCCAACGCCAGATGGTTTTACTCGTCAAGGGGAGAGTGCTGCCATGTTACAGTTGGTATTACATTTGTATGTTGGTGTTTGGCATAATTGCCCATGAAAAGTGGGGGAATGCATTCCGGGCCCCCATTTAAACCCTCAATTACTTACTGATGAAAATACGGCAAGTCCATTTGGTAGTACATCAATGTCTTCAGAACCATTTACTGTAAAATAAAATTTTTGGCACATGATTGATACAATCATATAGTTACACAACTTTCGCTCTCCAATAAGCACAGCTAGTTATATAAGATCAAGGTAACATGACAGATATGTAAGATACAATACAATACCATGAAACAACTTGCACGGTCCAGGATTATGGTTGAACACTGGTATTCCCATTCCCAGTGTACGACTAATAAATGAACAAAATAAAACATTTACCAGGTTCCCATGCAATGTAGCATATGTAGCCAGCTCCAAACAAGTGGGGGTCTATTATTGTCCAGTCATCTGGGGGCATGACCCCCCGGAAAATTTTTCTATTGTTAAGGTCTGAAAAATGCTATTTGAAGTGTCCACCACTGGTTTTAGGATAATCTAAAAGCAACAGGTTTGGTATATGTTATGTTTTAGATGAAAACATTATAAGGTCATGCGCCCCCCCCCCAAGTTTTTCTGGAAAGAATTGCAAAATTGGCCATAAGAAAAGTGGGTATACAATTTGGCCAGTCTGAATCTTGCATCTGCGTGTGCAAATTACGTTTTCTGACTCGGTAATTGCAATTTATAGACCTAGTTAAATACTAGCATACAAGAAATTTTACATTATAGACAAACTTACAGAATTCTATTGATCATAATAATTCGCACCAATACCCAAGCAAGGAATGCAATCAATAAAGCTTTTTTGACGAGCCCCATAGTTCTCTCTTTCAAGTTTGCAGCAAACTTTAGAACACTGGAAATTTATGCGATTGAAGGTTTATACAGAATTATTGGATTTGTTGCAAATCAGTACGTTCTAATCAAGCACAAAGTCGTTGAAATGCTCGAATAAACGGTTGAATGGTTCGACCTTTGAACCAATTCACTAAACGCAGAAACAATGTAACCTGCGAACAGGCGTTTATTTGGTTACCAACCACTGAGCTATTTACTGTTGACTATGGTACGGTACCAACTCAGAAGACAGAAACACGGCGGTATAGTCTTCATAATTCAAACGTCCGCAAATTGACTGCTTGTACTCGAAATACTGGAAATAGTGCTGTCTTCGCGATTATCGCGAAGCTTTAGCAAAAAGTGTAAAGAAAATTACGAGGGTGTAATTACTGTAAACTTAGTAGAACTTCTTGTGGTGGCGGTTTTACAAGGGGCTGGCCCCAACCCATTTTAAAACCTTCAGCTATACGCAGGTTTGTCACAAGGAAAAAGCGATGCAATTCCCCAACTTGGGAACTGCATGGGTTTCTAGAGGGACAGCTTGGAAGTGCTATAGAGTCATCAAGTATAAAGCTAGCGGTTTAGTTGAGTTTCGTTCTATAGAAAGTCCTTATACAGGGTGTATCAAAATAAACGCAATTCATCTTTTGTGCTTAATAACTTTCGAAATACTATTTCTAGTTAAACGCATTTAGGCTTACATCAAAGCCTGTTCTTTTCTCTTTCAAACAAACTATTATCCTTGTCTCCAATGCTAGTAATAATTGCACAGGAAAAGATTTAGTAAAACCTATCATTTTTAGTTGCTGTTTAATTATGCAAGTCTACTATGTTATTGTTTAGTCGGTTTAAATGTTAGAATTTTCTTCTTTAAACTTTAATGCTGTCGTCACTACATCTGGAAAACCACGTAAGAACAAATTAAAAGTATTTTAAAAGAGACCAGGTTGTTTGAAAATCCCAAACGAACGCTAAAAATCATAGAATCAAAACATTCTGGTGTCTGAGCCAGAGTGTCATCGAATTGCGATGTAATGTAAACAGAAATTATAGCAAGCTGATGTCAGTCAGCTTAGATGGTCCAAGCCAAAATTATATCGCATTTGAAGTTTCAACCTGTGTTAAAAATAGTGGAAGAAAAGCCGTAATTATACTTATTGTTACAATCCATTTAATAAAATGCAACATTTGTTTGTTTTAATGAAAAATCAGTTATTTTCATGAGAACGATTTGTTATTCCATCTCAATTTTTTTAATCTCCAATAGCAATAACGTAAAATATTATTACCCGCGAACCAATGAGTCAAATTTAAGAAACAACCCACTGTTAGAAAGCTGAATGGCTACGCTTTAAAATGAATGTAAACTTTAACGTTTTCGTCTATTATTTGTTTAGCAATTTACATTTCAGTCGAGGATTGCGTTTTTTTTTATACACCCTGTATATTGAACTCGTATATGGGAAGAAGACGTTCTAAATATCGCCCACATGCAAGGGATGAAAACCCAGATACTCAGGTTATTGCCCCTCTGTTTTCTCAAGTCATGAAATGAAATATCGCCCACATGCAAGGGAGGAAAACCCAGATACTCAGGTTATTGCTCCTCTGTTTTCTCAACTCATGAAATGACAGAAAATTTCTGCCCTTTTTCCCGTGACCGAAATGTTTTTAAATCTTCTGAAACAAGTCCACGATTCGATTAAAAAATTCGAAAAGTACTGGCAGTTTTAGAATTGTTTTTTCAAACTAATTTACAGTTGTTTTTGTACATTATGTTATAAATTATATCATCATAATATATACCATCTAGGATACGGTGCAAGGCCATATAACGGCAGGTTATTTTTCACCAGGGGGCAGCAATACCTATTATGCTGAAATAAGTATACAAATGTCAATGCATTCAAACTCATGTCAGTTAGATACATGCTTATGACCGCCCCATACAGAATTGTACATTCTGATTCACAAGATTATGAGTGCCATTTGGCTTAATAATTTACAATAACGTTATACAATTAGGCAATTGTCCCTGCTGCCCCCTGCGTTGGTGTACGGCCCTGATAGGGTGTAAAGCACTGATAAATTAACTTGAACGTCCTCAACCTCGCTGCCAATTTTCGTGTAACTCTTGTTCTTCGGCGTTTGACTGAGCCACGAGAGTTGAGGATACAGATCCTCGCTTGTCAACTCCCACGCGACGCCCGTTTTCGTTTGATGAGAATTTCCTCAACTCTCGTGGTTCGGCTCGCCAGTTTCAAGTCTTACTCTCTTGAGGTTCGTTTTTGCTGGTATCAGTAATTTAGGATCGGAGATGACGCTGATGTCGCTAATTATACTCTGTAGTTGTAACGATTCTTCATTCAGCGGTGCTGGTGTCGTTATTTTATTCTCTGTACTTTTCTCCTGAATCGGTTCGACTGCAGGGCGAACTGTTGATCTAGAAATAAAGTGGAAAGAATCCGTAAAATCGGTGCGCAAACGAGAGCGATAGTTTTAATTGTTGCAGGGTACCAAAAAATGATAGAACTACAAGAAACCTCACAGCTAGTGTCAACAAGATGTGTTCGCACTGCTTGTTCCCAGTGGTTGAGAAGTCTTTTAACAAGTTGTTATCATCTTGTACCAAGGTTGACGAGGCCAACAGACTCGCAACAAGTTGTCCAACAAGTCTGGTATCGTCTGCACGCAAAAGTTGTTAACAAGTTGATGAAAACAAGCTCGTGGTAACTTGTATATGGAACAGCCTGGATTAGTCTTGTTGGAACAACTTGTAACAAGTCTGCATGTTACCGTCATCAACAATTCAACCTCGTAGCAAGGTGATAACAACTTGTTCCAGACTTGTCACAACAACTGGGAACAAGCAGTGCGAGCACGACAACAACCCTATTACAATTTGTTTGCAGATCTCTAACAACTTGCGTGTTGTAGTGGTCAATGCCCATCAGCTCTACCAATTTTCGTAGTCAAATTACTTACTGCATTTTTCTCATCGCTCTCATTCTACGGATTAAATTGTAATGACTTAATTCTGGATATCTCCTTTTGCCCGTCAACCTAAGAATACAGTTAAAATATACAGTATAAACAGTTACCTTGCTTTCAATAGTTTTATTATAATAGAAAAGATAGAGAAAGCCAAACAGTAAGAACACTGACATTTACCATCAGAGGCAGCATTCCAGTTAAGCTAGGGACCGCGGGAGCGGGGGTGAACCCCCCTCGTTCCCCACCCCGCAATAAATTTCAAAAACTTTGTGGACAGTACAAAATTGTAGCAATGGACAACTTGCATGTTAGACTAGATTTTAATCTAAGTAAAGAAAAGGGAATCAAATACCACAGCTAAAAAGAACATAATGAAGTTAGTAAAATTGCAAAATTTGGTTGCGAAATGTTGTAAAGCTTGGAAAAAATATAACCTTGGACAATTTCCAAATTTTCCATATGTTTGTATGACGCGCGGAAGTTGTTGTAACAATTTCCTCACGTAATACAAACATATACAAAATATGCAAATTTCGCAAGGCTATATTTCCCGTATTTTACAACATTTCGTAGCCAAATTTTGCAATTTTACTAATTTTAGTAAGTTCTTTACGGGAATTACTTTTTTGCCTACATTTTGGGGGAGTGGGGGGCGTGAATTATAGCATTAAATCCATCTTGAACGCGTATGAGCGTATTTGTCCACATGATTTTGTCCAGGATTGCAGCTCATTGTACATAGAAATCCCTACCTATCCCAAGCTGTCTTCCAGCTAGACAGAGTGCTCGACGTCCAGGTCCAAGCACTCATGGTAATCCCAGCACCAAACAACGAGAAGAGATGAAGTTCTATTATGCCAAGATCAGGTCTGTTCGCAGCCTTGCATTGGTCCGGACCTTTCTTGATCGTTGCGTCGGCAATACATCTAAAACATTACGCAAATTATGATTGATGTACACGGCGAATGAGAAAATTAATGATAAAGTTGTTGACTCGAGTCATACGACTTTGACTCAAGTCTGACTCGAGTCGCAATTTTTGTGACTTGTGAATGGACCATTTGCATTATAGACTAAATTTTGATCTAGACAAAAATTTCATCACAGCTTGAAAGAGCATCACAAAATCAGTAATATTCCAAAGTTTCGTTGCGAAATGTTGTAAAATGCGGATAATATAGCCTTGCGAAGTTTGCAATTTTCAGTCATTTTAGATTACAAACGGGAAATCGATGCCCCAACACCCGATTGGGCGTCAATTTCCCGTTTGTAATCTAAAATGACTGAAAAACGGCAAATTTCGCAAGCCTATATTATCCACATTTTACAACACTTCGCAACGAAACTTTGGAACATTACTAATTTTGTGATGCTCTTTCAAGCTGTGATGAAATTTTTGTCTAGATCAAAATTTAGCCTATAATGCAAATGGTCCATTGATGAGATTCGGTGGCGCAGTCTGAGAGTAAGCGCCTCTTACCAGCTCTGAGTACGTGGGTTTGATTCTCGCTACGGACTCATGTGAAAAGAGCCGGTCAACGCTCTGTCGAAAGTCATGGGTTTTCGCCGGGCGGAGCGGTTTCCTCGCACAGGGAAAGTTGACAGGGTTGGTTAAGCCCTGGGCAAACTAGGAAACATTGTTGTGGAAACATTTGTGATTCTCGATGTTTCCTTAAATGTTTCCCTGTTTGCCCACCCGTGGAAACATTGTTGCGGAAAGAAAATTTGCTTCCCGAGACACAAAAATGTTTCCTAGCGAATTCAGAAACATTTGATGTTTCCCTATGTTTCTCACTAATGTTTCCTTGTGTTTGCCCATTCTTGGAAACATGGGGAAACATTGGCAGGAAACAATGTTTGCGCAACAATGTTTCCTAAAATCTGCTGTGTTGGTGTAATGTACTCAGGTGAATAAGATGTTTGTGTGATGTTACTCTGAGTGTATATCCACACCGGGCAGGCTTGAAAAATATGCCTGGCCACGGCGGGATTCGAACCTACGACCTTTGGAATACTAATGTTTCCTAGTTTGCCCAGGGCTTTAGGATAAACATAGTTATAAGAAAGTGATATCACAATTGTTGTAAAGATAAAAAGTCTAAGCGTAATACTTGATGTAAAAGCATATTCGATCATGATAACCACATGTAAACTTGCGCTATGAAATGTAATTGAAATCGTAATAGAATATATGATAGTGTTTGGAAAATATTAAGAACAAGCTAATCAAGGCAGTGGTGTAATGCTCATTAGGTAGGGATAGTTCAAAAACTGAGGGCCCCCGACAGTTAGGGCCCCCCTTCAGCCTCGGCCTTTCGCCCACAAAATTAGAAAACGTAAAAAATGCAGGTTAAGAATCAATTGGAAAATGCAAAATTAATAATGCTAAATAACAAAGCCTCTATCGACAACGGTAGCTGATTTTGTTATTCCATCTCAAATAAAATAAATGTTATTCTTATTATTTTTATAGACACGGAATTTTCCAGAACATTCTAAAAATATTCAATATAGCTAAATACAATATCTCGGTCAAACAATATAACAACAGTCAACAGAGCCCCCCCCCCCACACATCAAATATGCCTAATGCCCCCCTCTTTCTCCGTTAAGGTCCAGACACACCGGACGCGACTCGGCAACGCGATGCGATTTTTTAGTTTTCGAAAGTTAATAAAACAGCCAATGAGAGCAAATTTTGAAAGATATGTAGACCAAATAACTCAAAACGTTATAGCGCTTCTAAATATTTGGAAAATTTAAACTAGCATCAAAGTTATCGGTCATTGAAAATTGCGTCGCGTTGTCGAATCGCGTCCGGTGTATACTCTGCATGCTCGGTCTGATCCGGACTATACATTCATTTACTCAAGAAAAAAAAAACACGAGGTTCTTACTTCATATATTGTCTATAGCCTCGTTCCCAAATCTTTTGATTGTGATAATCATAGAGATGACATGCGAACGTCGTACCAACAAAGATGAAGGCGAGGAACGCAAATATACCTGGAAATAGATGAAATATTTTATTAATCGTAGCTACCGTGTTTCGTGTCTCTGAGCTATTTCATTGCTGTCTTGAGTGCAGGCTATCCATAGATTCAAACAATTTTACAGCGGTTGAAAAATCGAAGGTGAGTTTTGTCAGGACACACGCAAAAATCTCACATTTTGCATGTAGTATAAGTCTGCCAACAAGCCGTCAACAAGTTGTGGTCGCACTGTTTGTTCCAATTAGTTGTCAACAAGAGTTTGGAACAAGCTGTCAACAACTTGTAACAACCTTGTTAAGTTGATACTATCAGACTTGTTGCAAGGTTGTTCCAACAAGTCCCATACAATCATGATATAACAATATTGTTACAACCTTGTGTCGTCAATCTTGTAACATGCTTGTTATATCATCGTGACTGTATCAGACTTGTTAAAACAAACTCGCAACAAGTCTGATAATGCCATCAAGCTTGTTACAAGTTGTTGACAGCTTGCTTCAAACTTGTTACAACAACTGGGAACAAGCAGTGCGAACACAACTTGTCGACAGCTCGAGAACAGCTTAAACGCTCAAACCTTACCAATGCGAACAATGGTTTCCTTGATTCTACTTGCTGATCTCTGACTTAGAAAATGTGGATTGGTTTTTCTCAGCTTCCATAAGATAAGCAGACCTGTACGAAGAATGAGACGGGTATTTTTAAATAAGCCATACAGTTCGAGTTTTAGGGGCTGATCACATGGAGAGTTCCCGCAGCCCGGGCTGAGTTTCATCCCGGTTTCCCGGACTGAAATTTCAGCCCGGCCAAGGATAAAATCCTATTAAAACACAGCAAGTGATTACATGACAGAAATTTCAACCCGGGCTGAAGTTTCAGCCCAATTGAAGCTACCTGGACTCAAAAATTCATCCCAATAGACAGGTCTGAAAATCGTCATGTAATCGATGGGAAATTTTAGATAATACCCACCGGGCACACGACGTTGTTTCAACGTTGAAATTTGGTAGAAAAAAGGTTGCGACGTCGACAACCTAATATCTACATTGCTCTGACGTTGTTTTAAAAACATTGGTTCAACAGCAGCCAACAGACGTTGAATCAACGTTCATTCATAGTTAAATGTACGACGTCGATTTGCGAAGTAATCTCAACGTTGTTTCAACGTTGATTCAACGTTGAATTATGGTTGACGAGATTGGCAACCTAATTTCAACGTTGTTTCAACGTCGAAACAGTAACGTCGATCCAATTTGCATTATCAATCCTTTTTCAACGTCTATCCAACGTCTGGAAGGTCATTTCCAACGTTGATTCAACGTTGAATAAACGTCATTTTGCCCGCTGGGTAGACATGAACAACATTTTAAATTCTTCGAAGAAGCAGAATGTAGCTCCATTGTGAGACTTGATCGTTTCAGCCCGGGCTTGAGAATTTCTGCTCGGTTAACTGGGTTGAAATTTAGCCCGGGCTGAAAACTCTCCATGTAATCAGCCCCTTAGTGCATAATATTCATTAATACAGTGGTTCAGTGTTGCAATATTGTTACAGTGTTGCAGTTACGGTAATTGCAGTTACCATACGTACATAATATTCATTGATACAGTGGTTCAGTGTTGCAATATTGTTACAGTGTTGCAGTTACGGTAATTGCAGTTACCGTAACATTTTTAGTAATACAGTTAAGAGGCCTAAAATATATATAAGATGACAAAAATTTCCTGCTCGATGTATATAAGAAAATTTCCTGCGACCCCATTTACATGAGACAGGAACGAAGTCAAACCGGGACCATTTCGTTTCGATCATAGTATTATTTATAATAGATGTTTACATGAGACCGGGACGAAAATAACTCCGTTTCAAGTAATTCCGCCTGCTGGACCGAGCCGACTGACTTCAGACCGGCATGAATTCAGACCGGGATGAATGTAAACACAAGTACATTTCAGACCGGTCTCGACTGTAACCTTGACATTGGAACAACACATGCTAACAAAAGTCATGTAAAAAAGAAAGTTGCTTGGCAAGGGGATAAATTGAAAATTTTGCGATCTTTGTACCGATCTCATGTAAACATGTTGACAATTTCAATTTTCATTCCGGTTTGACTTAGTTACATATAGGTATAATATAATAATAATGCATACCTCTGGTTAGGAAGGTACCACTGATGGCAAGATTTATACCAAGCGGTGCTAAAAGAAAGTATATCCTCATTTCCATGTTTCGGTAACCAACAAAACAAATTCCACTGAGAGAATTTCCATCGACCTAAAAAGTAAACACGATGCAAACATTAAGCCGTGATCAAACGAAAATCGAGTTGATGAGAGTTGAGAAGCGAGAGTTTGTTTGCATCAGAGTTTTCTCGACTTTCATGCCCCGGTCATGATCAAACGAGAACACGAGTTGCATGAGAGTTGATGAGAGTTGAGAAGCGACAGTTTGCATGTCGAGCTTTTCTTAACTCTCATGTCCTGGTTAAACGAGGACAAGAGTTGCATGAGAGTTGATGAGAGTTGAAAAGCGACAGTTTGCATGAGAGTTTTCTTAACTCTCATGTCCTGGTTAAACGAGAACAAGAGTTGCATGAGAGTTGATGAGAGTTGAAAAGCGACAGTTTGCATGAGAGTTTTCTTAACTCTCATGTCCTGGTTAAACGAGAACAAGAGTTGCATGAGAGTTGATGAGAGTTGAAAAGCGACAGTTTGCATGAGAGTTTTCTTAACTCTCATGTCCTGGTTAAACGAGAACAAGAGTTGCATGAGAGTTGATGAGAGTTGAAAAGCGACAGTTTGCATGAGAGTTTTCTCAACTCTCATGTCCTGGTTAAACGAGAACAAGAGTTGCATGAGAGTTGATGAGAGTTGAAAAGCGACAGTTTGCATGAGAGTTTTCTCAACTCTCATGTCCTGGTTAAACGAGAACAAGAGTTGCATGAGAGTTGATGAGAGTTGAAAAGCGACAGTTTGCATGAGAGTTTTCTAAACTCTCATGTCCTGGTTAAACGAGAACAAGAGTTGCATGAGAGTTGATGAGAGTTGAAAAGCGACAGTTTGCATGAGAGTTTTCTCAACTCTCATGTCCTGGTTAAACGAGAACAAGAGTTGCATGAGAGTTGATGAGAGTTGAAAAGCGACAGTTTGCATGAGAGTTTTCTCAACTCTCATGTCCTGGTTAAACGAGAACAAGAGTCCATGCATGAGAGTTGGAAAGCGAGAATTTACATCAGAGTTTTCTCGACTTTCTTGCCCCGGTCAAACGAGAACAAGAGTTACATGAGAGCTGCATGTGAGTTGACTGGATATTACTGCGCGGTAGCGAAAACTCTCATCCACTTTCATCAAAATTTGAACCAGTTCAAAATCAACGAGAGTTTATGAGAAGCCGATGAGAGTTAGCGCTCAAACACAAGCTGGTCCAAAAATACACACTGTCAATTTCAAGTTTATTTTACTCCCAAGGTGGAGTAAAAAAAGTTGACCCTGTTTTGGGATCATTTATACCAGAAAATTTAAATCTATCTTCAGAGCAATCATTTCCTCACTAATAGAAGAATAATATTTACCCTGACTGGAATGAAAATTACTCTTAACTCTAGTCGCAAATTTTACATCTCATTTAAGAGGAAAGAGCATGCCAAACTGGAGTAAATGTTAGTTCAACACCGAGTTTTCCTTATCAGGCGGAAACAGGTAAAATTTTCCGTTTCCACAATCTCTCGTTTTGAAGGTAATAATATACCAAAACAGGGCCGTAGGAAGCTCTTTTCGATTGAGGGGGGCTGAAAGCGAAGGAAATGTTTTAAATTAAAAAGCTCTGACATGCCATTTCCTGGACTTTGGGGAAGATTTGACAGAATTCAGATAGTCAGAAAACAGTGTTTTAGTATGCCGAAATGTACAATTTAGTAGTACTAAATGGGCGAAGGCGTATTTAATTAACTATATATGGAATAGGTTGGAGGAAAGTATTGGTAATATCTTCATTCTTTGCAGTTTGTCACGGATTAAATGATAAAGGTCTCCATAATTTTGAAAAAAAGAATGATTACTAGCAAATTATTGGGGGGTGCAGCCACCCTCCCCAAAGCCCCCCCCCCCCCGGTCGCTACAGCCCTGCACAAGAAGAGCCAAGAATCACCAAGAATATTAGTTTTTCCACGCCAATTTACCTGAGCCAGTGATATGACAACACAAGTCAACACCAAAGGCGGGATCCATGACATTAGATGAAAATACACAGCTTTACTGGATAAATCATCCCTTGTAGTACCAAGACTTTGGAAACAGATATACCAGGCGTAGGATAGCACGACAAACCAAACAACACCAGCCGTGGAGAAATAATAGACGAGGAAAAATGTGAATATGCACGACACAGAATCCGTTCCTCTAAAAACAAGAGAAAAATTGGTAAACCAATATTATAAACGGTCCAAAAATACATACATTTCACTATAATTTTTAGCCACGGCGGTCTGTGGCTAAAAAGTATATCAGATTTCACTATACTTTTTAGCCACGACGGTCTGTGGCTAAAAAGTATATCAGATTTCACTATACTTTTAGCCACGGCGGTCTGTGGCTAAAAAGTATACCGGATTTCACTATACTTTTTCGCCACAACGGTCTGTGAGTAAAGAGTATATCAGATTTCACTATACTTTTGGCCACGGCGGTCTGTGGCTAAAAAGTATCTCAGATTTCACTATACTTTTAGCCACGGTGGTCTGTGTCTAAAACGTATACCGGATTTCAGTATACTAGTTTTAGCCATGGCGGTCTGTGGCTAATAAATATATCAGATTTCACTATACTTTTTAGCCACGACGGTCTGTGGCCAAAAAGTATATCAGATTTCATTATACTTTTAGCCACGACGGTCTGTGGCTAAAAAGTATATCAGATTACACTATACTTTTAGCCACGGCGGTCTGTGGCTAAAAAGTATATCAGATTTCAGTATACTTTTTAGCCACGGCGGTCTGTGGCTAAAAAGTATATCAGATTTCATTATACTTTTAGCCACGACGGTCTGTGGCTAAAAAGTATATCAGATTTCATTATACCTTTAGCCACGGCGGTCTGTGGCTAAAAAGTATACTTGATTTCAGTATACTTTTTAGCCACGACGGTCTGTGGCTAAAAAGTATACCAGATTTCAGTATACTTTTTAGCCACGGAAGTCTGTGGCTAAAAAGTATATCAGATTACACTATACTTTTTAACCACGACGGTTTGTGGCCAAAAAGTATATCAGATTTCATTATACTTTTAGCCACGACGGTCTGTGGCTAAAAAGTATATCAGATTTCACTATACTTTTAGCCACGGCGGTCTGTGGCTAAAAAGTATACCTGATTTCAGTATACTTTTTAGCCACGGCGGTCTGTGGCTAAAAAGTATACCTGATTTCAGTATACTTTTTAGCCACGACGGTCTGTGGCCAAAAAGTATATCAGATTTCATTATACTTTTAGCCACGACGGTCTGAAAAAGTATACTTGATTTCAGTATACTTTTAAGCCACGGAAGTCTGTGGCTAAAAAGTATATCAGATTACACTATACTTTTTAGCCACGACGGTTTGTGGCCAAAAAGTATATCAGATTTCATTATACTTTTAGCCACGACGGTCTGTGGCTAAAAAGTATATCAGATTTCACTATACTTTTAGCCACGGCGGTCTGTGGCTAAAAAGTATACCTGATTTCAGTATACTTTTTAGCCACGGCGGCCGGTGGCTAATAAATATATCACATTTCACTATACTTTTTAGCCACGACGGTCTGTAGTCAAAAAGTATATCAGATTTCAGTATACTTTTTAGCCACGACGGTCTGTGGCTAAAAAGTATATCAGATTTCTCTATACTTTTAGCTACGCTACGGCGGTCTGTGGCTAAAAAGTATACTTGATTTCAGTATACTTTTTAGCCACGACGGTCTGTGGCTAAAAAGTATACCTGATTTCAGTATACTTTTTAGCCACGACGGTCTGTGGCTAAAAAGTATATCAGATTTCACTATACTTTTAGCCACGGTGATCTGTGGCTATGAAGTTTACTGAATTTCAGTATACCTTATTGCGACGTAGGGGGTACCGGAGCTATATGGTGAAGGTATATCACCCGTTAACTATAGGAGTTTAAAACCCACTGTTTGCATGAAATCGTTTTGGGAGTTCTGCCCCCCTCCCCCCTCCCTCTGGGGACCCTTATATGAGGCTATAGCTGTTTGATACATACACAGGTTCCCCAAGACGCATGGTATTGTCATTTCGGCAAAGAATGCTGGTTCTTGATTCGCCAAAGAACTGAACCAGAAATCCAAGATAGGTGAGGCAGAAACACGCATTCATATAGAACAAAATCACCGAAGGATATTTGTTTTGAGACTTCCAGCCGACCAAAAATGTAAGCTAGAAAATTAACAGAATTGTTTAGTTTCATATTTTATCTGAAATTGGGTAGAACGGCGTTCTATACAGGGTGTATAAAAAAAAACTGAACAGATTTGAAATTGCTCTCAATTTCGAAAAACACCTATTTGTATCCGGTCTTTTATATATATAGCTTCTTTGGGTACTTATAGTGTAGAATAATGAAAAAAATTTCTCGAACTCAAATTTTGTGAACCAGGGGGGGGGTGTCTTTTCCAACAAACTAAAAATGGGTCGCGCACAAAATTTAAAAGTTGTAATCATATTTTGAGTAAATAGATGGAAACTTTGTCGGGTTTTTAATTACTGTACAAAATTTCAGATAATTTAGTTTCGTTTAAGCCCTTTAACTATTCACGCAAAGTTACATTTTTCCTAAAAATCAGCTATTTGCATGCTTAATTAATGCCTTTGCCTAATTTGCATATGTCAGCAATATGCAAATTAGGTAGAGGCATTAATTAACCATGCGAAAGGCTGATTTTTTAGAATAAAATGAATAGTTAAAGGGCTTAAACTAAACCAAATTGTCTGAAATTTTGTACAGTAATTAAAAACCTGACAAAGTTTCCACCTATTAACTCAAAATATGATTACAACTTTTAAATTTTGTGCGCGAGCCATTTTTAGTTTGTTGGAAAAGACACACCCCCCTGGTTCACAAAATTTGAGTTTGAGAAATTTTTTTCATTATTCTACATTATAAGTACCCAAAGAAGCTATATATATAAAAAAACGGATACAAATAGGTATTTTGCGAAATTGAGAGCTATTTCAAATCTGTTCAGTTTTTTTTATACACCCTGTAGAATAGGTATATTCTACGGTTTTAAGGATTTTGAAGAATTGTTTGAGGGAGACTCTGTGTTTGATACTTGGGTCATTCGAAGAAGAGCTTTTTCACTGTCAAAGTTTCCAGATATGATGTCATTGGGTGAATTTCTGCAAATTAGTTTTCCTTTGTTTTTTTTTTCACTGTACCAAAAATTCACCTAATGACAACATATGCAGAAACTTTGGTAATGAAATAGTTGATCAAGACGAGGTTTTTTGCTATAAAGATACATTACATTTTCAGCCCTGGGTTGAAACGATTACATGACAAAATTTTCAATCCAGGGCTGAGTTCAACCGCGGGATTGAAATTTCAACCCTGCTAGCTGAAGCAGGGTTGAAATTTCAACCCCAGGGTTGAACTCAGCCCTGGGTAGAAAATTTTGTCATGTAATCGCGCGTTTGATTTTGATAGAGTTTTGTATACAGACAGGGCTGAAATTTCAACCCGGTAAACAGGGCTGAGTTCAACCCCGGGGTTGAAAATGCTCCATGTAATCGGCCCCTTACAAATCCTTAAGAACTTAGAAACTCCTAGTGTTAGTACTGTGATCACAGGCAGAAACTTTGATAGGAAACTAGCCTTTATGTAAGCAATCCATATATACTCACCACAGTAAACGCCGTACATAAGATAGAAAAAGTACCGAAAGCTCCAATGAATTGATGGATTCGATCATGTTCTTCTGCAGTAAATATTGGATTCTCGCATTGAATACCGCATCCGTGAATACCTTCGTACCAGCTCTCTTCGTCTTCTGTATACACCAGAGGCGCTGGACAAGTTGTTTGGTTGTTTTTCGATATCTAGATTTGAATTTTCAAAGGCAAATATATGAAGAGTAAATAGAAGATGATTCCACTAAAATTAGGCAAGAACAAAATTAAATCAATCACCACAGCTAGAAAGAGCATGTTAAAATTGGTGAAATGGCAAAGTTTGGCCGCGAAATAAATGTTGTAAAATGCGGAAAATATAAGCTGTTATATAGCCCAGCGTAATTTGAAAATTTTGTATTAATTTGTATTACGCGCGGGAAAATGCACCACATGCTTGTATTAGCGTGCTTACGAGAATCCCTCTCATAAGCACGTTCATATATGCTTGTATTAGCGTGCAGCACGCTCATATATGATTGTATTAGCGTGCTTATGAGAATCCCTCTCATAAGCACGATCATATATATACTTGTATTAGCGTGCTTATGAGGATCCCTCTCATAAGCACGATCATATATGCTTGTATTATCGTGCTTATGAGAATCCCTCTCATAAGCACGTTCATATATGCTTGTATTATCGTGCTTTTGAGAATCCCTCTCATAAGCACGATCATATATGCTTGTATTATCGTGCTTATGAGAATCCCTCTCATAAGCACGATCATATATGCTTGTATTATCGTGCTTATGAGAATCCCTCTCATAAGCACGTTCATATATGCTTGTATTAGCGTGCTTATGAGAATCCGTCTCATAAGCACGCTCATATATGCTTGTATTAGCGTGCTTATGAGAATCCCTCTCATAAGCACGCATAGGCGTACCGGGCGGGGGGGCGGGGGGGGCGGCAGCCCCCCCAGTTTTTTGGGCAGTCGGGCAATATTCGATGAACAGTCGGGCAATTTTGGTTTGCAATAAAAAAAAATGGGTCAAATTCTGTCAATTTTGTCTAAAATTAAGTCAATTTTTTGGCAAATTTTGTGTTTTTTCGAAAATTTATGTTATGCTCCGGAAAAATTGTTTGTCCGGAAAATTTTTTTGACCCCTAAAATGGTACACTGACCGAAATTTTTTTGGCGACGGGGGGGGGGGGGGGGTCGCCAAAATAATTTTTCCGGAAAAATTTTTTTGGTCCTAGTCGGGCAGAATCCCGAAAAGTCGGGCAGAATCTCGAAAAGTCGGGCAATTTTCTTGCCGCCCCCCTAATTTTTTCCTTCCGGTACGCCCATGTAAGCACGTTCATATATATGCTTGTATTAGCGTGCTTATGAGAATCCCTCTCATAAACACGTTCATATATATGCTTGTATTAGCGTGCTTATGAGAATCCCTCTCATAAGCACGTTCATATATATGCTTGTATTAGCGTGCTTATGAGAATCCCTCTCATAAACACGTTCATATGTATGCTTGTATTAGCGTGCTTATGAGAATCCCTCTCATAAGCACGCTCATATATATGCTTATATTAGGCGCGTGCTTATGAGAATCCCTTATTTTGGTGTCTCATAAGCACGCTCATATATGCTTGTATTAGCGTGCTTATGAAAATCCCTCTCATAAGCCTCTCATTTCCTTGCCCTTCCCCCAGGATAGTATGCGATCGCCGAAGGTGTGAGCCGAGTACCGCAGGCACGAGATAGCAAGGGGGGTCCGGGGGCATGCCTCCCAGGAAATTTTTGAAATTTGGGTCTCTGAAATAGCATTTCCTGTATTCTTCGAACGCATTTAAAAAATCTCAACTTCTCAAAACAAAGTTTTAATGGTGAAATTTGTTAAATTGCATGCTAAACATTCAAATACAACATAAGTTTAAATATACTCAGCAACAAATTTTGTTGTTAAACTTCTTTTCAATGCTAAACTCATTTACTCAATACAGCTCATAGGGCCCTGGCTTTGGGGCAATAGGCCATTTTTTTTCCTCAGTGGTGGGGCAGACGGAAGGGGCCCAGTGGGGAAAATGCCCCACCAGTCCAGGGTATTAAAAATGCCTTGGTTGCTGCGGAGCGAGGGAGCCTGAAGCGAGCGAGCATAGCGTGAGAAAAGCTAGTTGAGTACACGATTTTTATAACAATTTTTTCCAAAATCTCACTTTCAATAAACTACTCGTTGCCTTCATGAGTGAAATTTCAGTCATTAATAATTCAGGAAAAAACCCAGGAAATCACAAGTCGGTGGTTTTAATATGTGTTAAAAAATCATGTTCATTTACATAAACTTTAGCTTTAGCTTCTCCGCTTAGACAACGTTTATTTTTAAAAATACTTCGCCAATGAACTCTTTAGATGGGCCGTTTTTTAAGCCATTTCTAACGCTTGCAGTCCGAGCTTTATCAGATGATAAAACACTCGAGCTGTGCTCTCGTGTTTTATATTTGATAAAGCACCCCTGCTCGTTTATTAAACAGTACATCGACTACCAAAAGAGACAAATTATATAGACTATAGAAATTTTTAAAACATAATCTTGAGCAATGTTAATACTTGCATATTGCGGGGTCGCTACGTGTGTGGGCCATTATTGACTACGAAACATGAGCGACGTGAAACTTTGAAAGAAAAATCGTTTTTGTTGTAATGTTGTCAGCTGACTATAAAATCCATAGATAATATCTTGGGTAACTGATATGCGCAATTACTTATTGTTATTCCGTGATATTCCGTGATACAGTAAAGTTTACGAAAATATAAAACAGGAGAAAGAAGAAAATAATTATGACCAATCTAGTACGCGAGTCTAGTATAACTCTAGTATAACTCCTCGTATGTGTGATTTAAAATTTACCTTTGTTTTATTCTAGGAATATAAGTTATCCAAAGTTATGAACAACACTTAATGGAATAATGGTTTAACAGTTGGATACTTGGATCTTAATTCTTAATCATGAATATTTCTCATATTTCCGTGATATAAATATGGTCAAAAGATATGACTTCGTTTGACAGTTTGCATTATTAAATTATCGACAAGTATATACCATGCTTGTCTAATCATTTACTACGCTTGACGTATCAGTGAATAACTCACCGTAAGATTATCGCAGTTTTCTAAGGGAAACGCTTCACACTTCAAAAATTCCGGCCATCCTCCGTACGAATCAAACTGCTCGACAACACGACAAGGCTCTCTTGTGAGTAAACAAACCGAACGGCATGGCAATCTTACATTGCCCTCCTCACATTTCGGCATGTAAACGCGACATAGCAATGGCTTTAGAATTTCCCAGCAGCGAGGCAGAAAGCTAAGAGCTTTCCATCTTTCTAGATTTTTTATGATTTCTTTTTGGTCTTTTGAATCGGTCGCAATCTCCGTAGTTGTGTAGTTAAATGGTAAAGTGATATCAAAGCATCCAGTATCCTGCTTCAGTTTCTCGCATTTGAACGTATTGTTCAACGACTTAACATGCGCGCAGAGCAAAACAAACGTCCAAAGTCGAGTGAATGTTATATCCATTGATTTCGTACATGACAAAGTGAATTCGAGCGATTTTACGCAAATTTGCGCAAAATATTCATTGTCAAAACTTCCGCTAATCCAAAATGCTTGAGTGAATTTACACAAGTGGATGCAAGGTGACACATGGGGTTAATATTGAACAACTATGAAGGTACTCTATTATATCCTACTACAATACCCTATGATCCTGGCATTTTCTTCATTTTCTTATAGCTGCCTCTCACTAGTTATTTTACAGCCGAAAATTTGAGAATTATAAAATTACTATGTGAGTAAAAATGCAAGATTTCAAGTTTACTTTTCACAAAAATAAACTATATTATTAGAAAGATCACGAAAAAGTATAAGACAGTGAGTCAATTTCAAGCAGATTTTGAGTAAAGGAGCTTAAAGTTGGCAAAATAGTAACCATTAGTTTATTAGCATAATTAGCACATTTTTATTCCTGAGCGTTAAAAGAGCGTGGGAAAGGGGGGGGTATGGATCACGTTTCACAACGGAAAAAAAGCTGTTTCACAATTCACGTGTTCACATTTCACTAAAAACTAGATTCTAATAAAAATAATATAATAATAATAGGTTTATTAAGAGCAGATTGGATGCATGGTAAAGTATCTAGTTAAAAACTACATAATACAACTCCGAAAGGCCTCCGAAGTTTTTATGCAATCGAGTGAAAATCACAGTTCACGAAACAGAAATCCTTTTAATTCTCATTTCACGGAACATTTTTACCGACAATCACGCCTCACGGCTGTAGAACAAATCACATTAATTTCACGACACTAAAATCAAGCATTTCACGCGAACAAGTATTGACCATTCACGTCTCGCGAAACTGACCCTTTCCCACCCTCTTAATTAAGGTCCAGCCAGACACACCGGACGCGATTCGCGTCGCGTTGTCGAATCGCATCCGGTATGTCTGGACCTTTATTAAAAAGCTCAAAATCGACTGCGAAAATCATAATACTCGCTTAAATGTCTTATATATAACTTTCTATTGGTATAGTTTATTTTTGTTTAAGTTAATGTGAACTTCAAATTTTGCATTTTTGTCAACATGCTCAAATTTTCGGCTAGCTGTAAAGTGGAAATCAGAGTTGCCGACATAGGTAGTGTTCTTTGTTTCTGCTTATTTTTTAAGGTAGTAATATAACCACTCAGCACAGCATTTTCTTTGTTCATGCCTACTCTAAAATACTCCATGCAAGAAAAAGCCAGTCGGCATATTTTACAGTCGTGGGTTTTCCCCTAACTTAGAACCGGAGTGCCCCGCCCAATCTAATGTATACAAGGGGTTGCGAGGGGACATTAAGGAGCATAAAAACCCTATAATATCCAACGTTACCCAACACAAACACTTACTCACACCTGTCATTTAAAAAAACATGGACGCTTAGACGATTGTTCATTTATTAAAGAGAGAGACAAGCCTCGACAATTTCACCACATCTTACTTGTTTTTAGCAAACTAATCATAAATTTTAACTAGAAGCGTATAACGCACTAACGGTAAAACATGGTTAACGTTGAAGTTTTTGTCTACGATCGCAGGAAAGGTGATAAACCCGAAGTGAAACTGCAAGTTGAGAGCGATGGCTTGAGCTTCTCCGAATTCAAACAGACGCTTTGCAAAGTATGTTTGCGTTTTATGCTCGCGTTTTATATCTTGTTATCTGTTAATGTAGTATAAGCGATGTCTTATGCATGAGATATACACTGCATAGTAGCTCTTTTTGTCTGTAAATTATTTATTTCGAAAATTTTAGGAGTTTAACATTGGGAAAGACGAGCTGTTTGTCATTGTGAATACCAATCGAGGTGTCATCGATTCCGATGCGGCTTTGGGTAAGTGATAACAGGATTTATTTGAACGACGGTTTGTAAAATTGAGCTTATCTCAATTTGAGCTCTATCTATCTTTTTTTAGAAATTTAAGTGTAGGAAGATAGTGTATTTAAAAATTGTTGACATATACAGTATGCATGACTCAAAGGCTTTTGGGCACTTAAACAACGCGTTGCACCTGTCAGACAGATGCTAACACTGCCAACAGCAACAAATGCGAAATTGTTTTTGTCAAAAAGGCCTGAGGGGGCATGATCTTTTGGTGTATAGATTTCGGTTAGGGGCGTGTTCTGTTATTACAAGGAGGTCGTATTATCTAAAGAATTCTTAATCATAGAATAACATGGCACTATAAAACTAATTAACCCATTAGTGCAACACACTTTGCTCAGGGCTGTTTGCATGATCCCACTTTGCCAAGATGAGAGGTCATAATAATTCACGGTTCATAATTCGGCAAGATTGCATTCTTTTTCAAGCGATGAATTACGGTATAATTGTAAATGAAAAGTTGTTCAAGCAGTAATATAATAACCGTCTTGAACTACGAGATGTTCTCGCCAACATTTTAATCCCTTTAACCTAATGACTTATTTCAAGATAGAATTTTAAATTGTAGCTGCAAAATTTAAAGGATGTCTGCACACTTTTATGCAACATACTTTGACAATTATTTACAGAACTTTATGGTGTGTAGTAGTAGGGTGTTCAATTGCGATAATTATTAAAAACTAGTTGCACAAAAAACTAGTTGCATTTCTGCCTTGTTAGTATTAAATTAAACAAGTTGTCGAAGTGAATGCAATAATGATTATAAGGAGAAAATGATTAGAATGTTTTACTGTTTTGAACACTGTATGTGACTTCAATTTTGCTCTCCCAGTATTACAGTCAATTTCAGCTGACATTTTCATCATAAGATTCCGAACTTCGTTCCGAACTTCGCAAATTTGTTGCGAAGTTCAAAAGTTCATAATGAAATTCACAAACAGGTTTGTAAACAAAGCCTCTGATTGGCTATTAAATCAAACCAGCCAATCAAATGCCCAGTTTACAAACCTGTTTGTGAATTTCATTATGAACTTTTGAACTTGGCAACGAATTTGTGAAGTTCGGAACGAAATTCGGAATCTTACGATGAAAAGTCAGCTGAAATTGACTGTAATATGATAAAATCTCACAGTTTTTTAAGGGCCAAAACGTGAAATCTCCCTGTTTTGAAATTTTAAGGTTGACAGATCTGATTCTATTGGTGCTCTTGTACTGGTTAATTTCAATCAATCTTTTGTGTTTTAGAACAACTCCTTCAAGAAAGTAGTACACTTTACATCCTGAATGCTGTTGACCAAGAACTTAGTGCACCAACATATGAACGGGTTGAGTACATTCCCCACTACGATACGTTGGTGAAAAGTGGAATTTATGAATATTATGCAAGTGAAGGACAGAATCCCTTGCGTAAGTGATAATAGACCAAATGGATTCAAAGTTGTCGCATGTTATTAATATCAGATTTACCAAGCAAGCCTGACTGGCCTTGTTTTGGAGCTTTTTGTACATTTCAAAGGGCCGTAATTTTACTTACCGTCCATTGGATCATTTTCAATTTTATAATAAACCTGGCGTTTGCATCAAATATATAAAATAATACAAAATTGTGGTTGGCTAGTTTTCGAATAAGTCAATTAAATAATAAACACATTTATTAACTTAACATCCCCCATCTGAAAATCAACACATTGTATTTTACAACTATGTTGTTTATGGCCAGCGTGGTTATTATAAATAAATTTGTAAGTAAGTATTAACCCTTTAAGTGGCAATGCACCGATATGTGCCCTACTTTATTATTTTACTCTGTTTAACACCAGACGATTTTACTCATCAGGGGGAGTCAAATGCTGCCACTCGATGGGTTAATTATGAAAAAAATTGAAATTTGGCCCAAAAAATATGAAGGTTCTAACTAATTTTCACATTGTTGATCTCAATTGCAACTCAGGTCCTGTTTCGTCCACCTGTCATTAATGTAAATTTTATACTCACTGACAAACTCATTAAATTCAAGAAATAATGCAGAATTTTGCATCTTATGCTTTATGCATGAGAGTTGGAAAGTCTGCATGTACTACAATTTGCTCAGTATATACTACAATTTGCTCAGTATATACCACAATTTGCTCAGTATATACTACAATTTGCTCAGTATATACTACAATTTGCTCAGTATATACTACAATTTGCTCAGTATATACTACAATTTGCTCAGTTATACTACAATTTGCTCAGTATACAGTATTTGCTCAGTATACACATTAGATATCGGGGTGTCAAGGTGTGGAATGCACTCAGTGATTTTGACAAAAGATTGTCATTCACTCAGCTCAAACGAAAACCTAAAGCTAATTTTGTTGATTCATACTAATTTAACTTTAAAAAAAATTCAGAAAGTAGTTTTTTATATCATTTCTTTTCTTTTCTTTTTGGTTCTTAATATCTTGCTGCATTAATTCCTTTTATTATTATTCAGTATCTTTGGCCTCCAGCTCTGATTAGCTTATTGGTTATTTTGGAGAGCCTGCTTCACTTTATTTAGAATTATACTAACTAAGTAACTAATGAATGATTGTAAAAATTGTAGTGAAGCAATATAACTTCTTAACTTCTTTTAAGTTTGAATGCCCACCAGATTAATTATCATGCTGTATCTCTTTTTAGCATTTGCTTTTGCTGAGTTAGTTGACAATGCTTTGGCTGCAACGGCTGGGAATAAAGGACTCCGAAAGATCGAGATACAACTGGTATGTTCGACACAAGTCATTGACAGTTTGCAATATCCAAAATCAAATTTTAGTGACCTGTGGATATCGGGATTTCTAAAATTTCAGACCCTGATTGCCGTATGATTTTATATTGATTTTTACCGCAATAGATGTTTGATGATGCTCTTGGAAAGCCCGCTATCTCTGTCTGGGACAATGGCCAGGGGATGACGTCAAGAGCGCTGAACAATTGGGCCATCTACAGACTATCAAAGTTCAACAGAGATGAACATTTTCGGAAGTTAGTAAAATTTTTAACAACTACTTTTTAAATGTTAAAATTATAGAAACACCATTTTTGCGATACAGCAGCTCTTTCTCTAATTAACCCATTGAGTGGCAGCACTCTCCCCCTGACGAGTAAAATCGTCCGGTGTTAGACAGAATAAAATTACAGAGTAGGGCGCATCTGGGCACATTGCCACTTAAAGGGTTAACAGGGTGCATGGGCAGATAGTCTGATTAACCCATTGAGTGGCAGCACTTTCCAGGCCTGACAAGTAAAATTGTCTGGCGTTGTTAGACAGAATAAAATGACAAAGTAGGGCCCATCTGAACGCATTGCCTCTTAAAGGGTTAAAATAAATTTTACTTCAGCCCCTGTACGGAATAAACAAGTTTCAGGAAACATATTTCAAGAATTTTAACGTTCACTTAGCCTACTGTGTTTTGTTCTTTCCTAGACCAACCGATGGTCCTCGTCCCCCGTTAGGAGATGTTTCGAGATACCTAAACAGTGATATATCATGGTTTGGAGTTGGAGGAAAGCAAGCTATATTTTTTATTGGAAATGCAACAAGAGTAAGTGTACCATACAGATGCTTTGTGTCAATAAAGCTAATTGTAAATAGCCTAGGTCTTTGGTAATCCTTTCCTTCCGGTGACATGTGTTCTCCCGCTGGTGCTCTGTATATACAGTATGCGATATGATTGTAAACTGTAAAGCGTTTTATTTCATTCTTGTCTGATGACAGACGACTTTGAAATAAAATTGAAAATTCACAGTTTCAAACTTTCGTCTTGCATCAATTCAATTCTTAGGAGGTTATGTTTTTATGGAGGTTTTTATGTGGGTGTGTGTATGTTTGTTTATCAGCTTCATAACTCAAAAATTATCAAATGTATTAGGCCACATAAAATAAATTCCTTGATTCTCATCACCGCCCGACTGTATTTTAAGAGCCGCGTGAAATTTTTAAATATTTTGTTATACAATATAAATGTACCGCGCGCCCGACAAAATATTTCAAGACAGTTAATTTTTTATGTTTTATATTGGGGTTTTAGTGCCATTTTAAACTGCCAATTTCAAACAAATAGAACCTTGAAAGAAATTTCATTGCATTTTAACAGAACTTCGCATTCAGTTCAAGGGCCAGTCATTGTTCGTGGAGAAATATGTTTATTTCAGTTTGTGACACTTTTATTTAATATAATTGATATATAAATTATATAAATATAAAATATAAACCTCCCGCCTCTTCGACATTTTCTAAGTGTAGTGATGAGAATCAAGGAATTTATTTTATGTGGCCTTAGTAGGAAAATTTGTGGGTCTAATATGCAACATTGCTACATCACTAGATGATCACGAAAACTGACAATTGTGCTGACGTGCATGAGTTGTGTATCTCAAAGGAAGAGTTTGAAAGAAAAGAGCAACGAAGGGAGTCCATCTACAGTGGCCAGATTTATAACAGACGGGTGAGTCTTATTTCAAATGTTACACATGGCCGGATTTTGTGTGTGGGGGGGGGGGTGCACGCCTCCCCTGAGATCGTTTTGCAGCTCCCCCTGAAAATTTTCGCACCTCCTCTGAAAAGTCATGCACTTCCCCTTGGGAAAGTTTCAATGATAGATCAAAGTGAAAATTTGATGGTTGCTTTGGTGATCAGGGGCTTTAAGGTGTCTGTTTTGATATGTTCTAGTCTGGAGATTGTGTGCATATATCGGAAGAAGACGAGAACGTACGAGAATTAATCAGAGCTGAGGAAAAACATCCAAGCTTTACTTCGGTCGTTATAACTGGCATCAATTCTACGAAGGTGCTCTATCTTCGATATCATTTTGATTACTGGTGTCAGCAACTCGCGTAAGTATATTAAGAAATATTTCACATCGAACTAATGGACCATTTGCATTATAGACTAAATTTTGATGTAGACAAAAATTTCATCACAGCTTGATAGAGCATCACAAAATTAGTAATATTCCAAAGTTTCGTTGCGAAATGTTGTAAAATGCGGATAATATAGCCATGCGAAGTTTGCCGTTTTTCAATCATTTTGTATTACGCACGGGAAATTGACAGCCCAATCGGGTGTTGGGGCATCAATTTCCCATTTGTAATAAAAAATGACTGAAAATTGCAAATTTCGCAAGGCTATATTATCCGCATTTTACAACATTTCGCAACGAAACTTTGGAATGTTACTAATTTTGTGATGCTCTTTCAAGCTGTGATGAAATTTTTGTCTACATCAAAATTTAGTCTATAATGCAAATGGCCATTAATATACTCTTTCGATAATTACGTCACAACTGCACTGTTTTCAACTTATCATCTTAAATGGAACCATCTTAAATGGAAAGGATTTCAAGTTTTTTCTCATGGGCTATGCACAGAGAAGCAGAACATCCTTCTTCAACACATGCATCAAAAAGAATTCTTTATTTTGAACAATAAATGTGGAAATAAGCTTTAACACGAAAACGTGACTCCCGATCATGACCTGGAGCCTCGTTTTCGTGTTAATGTTTATTTCCATATTTACTGATCAAAATCCAAAATGTTTTTTCACGCATGTGTTGAAGAAGGATGCTCTGTTTCTCTGTGCATAGCCCAGGAGAAAAAAACTTGAAATCCTTTCCATTTAAGGTGGTTCTAAGTTGAAAACAGCGTAGTTGTGACCAATAAATGTGACGTAATAATCGAAAGAGCATACCTTATTATAGGAAATTAACGATGCACTTTATTAACGCGACGTAAATTAACGTGTCATCTAATTAACGCGAATTGCTTTCAGGTACTTCTAAAATTGATTAAATTAACGCGAATTTGACAGTTTATGGTTAATTTAACTAACGCGAGTCGAAGAATATAAACACAACAGCAAAAGTATTACATACTACCAATTAAAACAGTACGCGAGTAGATATATCAAAACTGTAACGTTGAAAGTTACAGTAATTTAAGCCAATGTATATAAATATATATAGTTCAGCTTAAGATTCTGACAGTGACAGTGAAGAGGTGGACTGATGTTTTTGTTTTGAGGTTTAATATGATGCATTTTGTGTTAAAAGAGTTCGTGTTATATAAAACAAATCAAGGTCTTTTTAATTAACGATAACTAAAATTTGCATGCTTGAAATTAACGATAACATAAATTAACATTAATTAAGTTAACGCGAATTTTTAAAATCCGCGTTAATAAAGTGCATCGTTAATTTCCTATAATAAGGTATTACAGCCACACCTTATGAAGTATCTCGATGTTTCGTACAGGCACATCTATCATTATTATCTTCATGGACCACGAGGAAATGAGAGACGACCCGGAAAAGGCAGCGCCCCTTTTAGAAACATCGATATCCAGGTTCGTACCATTGGGCTTTTTAAGAGGATTTTTTTATGCATTACATATATAAACATGCGCTCAAAACTAAACTTTTTAATTTTTACGCTCGCATTTTTTGCTGCGATACACAATTTCATCAATTCTCATCCATGAATTATTTTGAATTCACTGATTCATAATAACGGAGTATTTTTGTACTAAATCTGCATGTGCATAAACATATAGTGTTCTAGCTGACCATGGTTTTAAATCCAAGAAATAATGTCTGTCAACCATATGTTGTTGCACCCATAGTGGGACATGGGTGTTAAGATTTTCAATGGCAAATCTTCATTCGAATTTTCTGCAGCTGGTTAACATTTCTTGCGAGCAGTACTTGCGTGCTCGCCTATTTTTCCCACCCCTGTAGAGCTTAGTCCTTAGTTTGGATTTCGATGGTAGACAATATACTATTACAAACCTAGACTGTCACACGATTCATTCACAAACAAATACCAACCGATACCGTCAGATGAAATTTAGAAAAACATAAGATTGCCAGTCGTTTACTTGCAGAAAATTTTTCCGTTGGAAACTATATGCCTAAAATCCTGGCGAATATTCTACTCTGTTTCGTTTTCCTCTATAGGTGGTTTTATTTGAAAAAGGCAAGCAAGCGAAACGCATAGCATTGCGAGACATCGACGATGATCTTCAGTCTGAGTATATCAAAACCACGGCTTCGGCTTTCGAGTTCCGAGCTCATTGTGAGGGCGGGGCTATCGTCGAGGGAATGCTGCGCTATCATCCGTTTCTCTATGACAGCGAGACCTATCCACAGTTGTCTCCTGACTCAAGTATGTGGTAATGGGGAGAAGTTCGAGTGTTTGTTAAATTCCGTTTGTTTATACTGGATATTTCAGGACCATCCTCAGATATCTGGATAGCTCTATCAGTAAACTGTTCTGCCTAGAGGTCCGGTAAAGATCATCTCTTATTGATCCAGTGTTACTACAGGAGGAAACCTAAACTAAACTAATTTTATTTATACTGGATAGCTCTATCAGTTCTAAACTGTTCTTCCTAGAGGTCCAGTAAGGATCATCTCTTATTGATCCAGTGTTACTACAGGAGGAAACCTAAACTAAACTAATTTTATTTATACTGGATAGCTCTATCAGTTCTAAACAGTTCTTCCTAGAGGTCCAGTAAGGATCATCTCTTATTGATCCAGTGTTACTACAGGAGGAAACCTAAACTAAACTAATTTTATTTATACTGGATAGTTCTATCAGTTCTTAACTGTTCTCCCTAGAAGTCCAGTAAGGATCATCTCTTATTGATCCAGTGTTACTACAGGAGGAAACCTAAACTAAACTAATTTTATTTATACTGGATAGTTCTATCAGTTCTTAACTGTTCTCCCTAGAAGTCCAGTAAGGATCATCTCTTATTGATCCAGTGTTACTACGGGAGGAAACCTAAACTAAACTAATTTTATTGATACTGGATAGCTCTATCAGATCGAAACTGTTCTCCCTGGATGATATAAGTTTCTATTTATCCACATGTATTCTGTATAGAAGCAAATGACGAAGACGACTTGGAACCAATGATCGACAGCCGTGCTCCAAGAGGAAACAGACCTATCTTTGAATGTTATTGGAACGGTCGTCTCATTCCTTACACCGCTATTGACTGGTATGTTGATGGTAGTGGTGGTACTGGTATGTTGATGGTAGTGGTAGTGGTACTGGTATGTTGATGGTACTGGTATTGGTACTGGTATGTTGATGGTACTGGTACTTGGTATGTTGATGGTACTGGTATGTTGATGGTACTGGTATTGGTACTGGTATGTTGATGGTACTGGTACTTGGTATGTTGATGGTACTGGTATGTTGATGGTACTGGTAGTGGTACTTGGTATGTTGATGCTACTAGTAGTGGTACTGGTAGTGTCTCCCAATTTAGCTAGGCTTTCAAAATAAGCCTGTCTGGTACAAATATTTAACATTATTCCTTAGTCCCCTCATTCCTTAGAAGGGTCAGTTAGGGGCTAATTCCAAGCCACCCTGTCAACATTCCTTGTGGAAGAGGGAACCGGAATATTGTCACCTTCCGATAAAATACAGTACATTTTCGATGTAGTATACTATGGTATAAGCACATAAGAAATTAAAGGAATTAAATCGGCAACAAAATTTGAAAACCGCGACTAATATTTTTCTTGTATGTTTGTTTTAAAGTCTGGAGTGGTGTGCTGCGCCAAAGAAGAGAACCAGTATACCTGCTGAATGTTACAACAGGTAAGGTCCAGGCACGCCCAGCATGCATGCCAAAAAGCTAATATTATGAAACAAACTTGTGGTTACAGCTCGACAACTGGCCTCTGTAACTCAGTTGGTTAGAGCATGGATAATAAAATAAATGGATAGGACTCTAGCTGACGTAAGCAAAAACAACCTAGTTGCAATCTGTGACGTCACGCGTATTGCAAAGTTCTCGGCATTTTGTTGTTTCGCTATACTTTCCGCTTTAAAAGAGTAATATTGAAGCATATACTGGTCTAATTGTTTTAAAAACATGCCTAAGCCACGACAAAGTATTCAAGGTAAATGTTTTTCGTCTTTGTTTTGTAGTTTTTTACATTTGTAGCTACGAAATTGGCGTCCCCAATTTTAACGAAATTTGGGATGCCTTTTTCACTGTTTAGTGCTTGAAATATTTGCTAAAATTGACTGGGAATACTTAGAGATTTCATCGTAGAATGGTGTAGTTATATTCATTTGCTCTTTGACTAAAATGTTTAGCTGTATTATTGCTAAACATGCCGTTTTTGAGAATTTGATTTGCAACTAGGTTTCAACATCCAATCACGCCATCAGCCCATTGAAAACATTAGGTCACGTCAGCTAGTTTCCTATCCATTTATTTTATTATCCATGGACTTGTGGTTAGAGCTCGACAACTGGCCTCTGTAGCTCAGTTGGTTAGAGCTTGACAACTGGCCTCTGTAGCTCAGTTGGTTAGAGCTTGACAACTGGCCTCTGTAGCTCAGTTGGTTAGAGCTTGACAACTGTCTCTCTGTAGCTCAGTTGGTTAGAGCTTGACAACTGTCTCTCTGTAGTTCAGTTGGTTAGAGCTCGACAACTGTGCTCTGTAGCTCAGTTGGTTAGAGCTTGACAACTGGCCTCTGTAGCTTAGTTGGTTAGAGCTTGACAACTGTCTCTCTGTAGCTCAGTTGGTTAGAGCTTGACAACTGTCTCTCTGTAGCTCAGTTGGTTAGAGCTCGACAACTGTCTCTCTGTAGCTCAGTTGGTTAGAGCTTGACAACTGGCCTCTGTAGCTCAGTTGGTTAGAGCTTGACAACTGGCCTCTGTAACTCAGTTGGTTAGAGCTTGACAACTGTCTCTCTGTAGCTCAGTTGGTTAGAGTTCGACAACTGTCTCTCTGTAGTTCAGTTGGTTAGAGCTCGACAACTGGACTATGTAGCTCAGTTGGTTAGAGCTCGACAACTGGTCTCTGTAGCTCAGTTGGTTAGAGCTCGACAACTGTCTCTCTGTAGCTCAGTTGGTTAGAGCTCGACAACTGTCCTCTGTAGCTCAGTTGGTTAGAGCTCGACAACTGTCTCTCTGTAGCTCAGTTGGTTAGAGCTCGACAGCTGTCTCTCTGTAGCTCAGTTGGTTAGAGCTCGACAGTTGTCTCTCTGTAGCTCAGTTGGTTAGAGCTCGACAACTGTCTCTCTGTAGCTCAGTTGGTTAGAGCTCGACAACTGTCTCTCTGTAGCTCAGTTGGTTAGAGCTGGACAATTCTGTAGCTCAGTTGGTTAGGGCTCGACAACTGTCTCTCTGTAGCTCAGTTGGTTAGAGCTTGACAACTGTCTCTCTGTAGCTCAGTTGGTTAGAGCTTGACAACTGTCTCTCTGTAGCTCAGTTGGTTAGATCTCAACAACTGTCTCTCTGTAGCTCAGTTGGTTAGATCTCAACAACTGTCTCTCTGTAACTCAGTTGGTTAGAGCTCGACAACTGTCTCTCTGTAACTCAGTTGGTTAGATCTCAACAACTGTCTCTCTGTAGCTCAGTTGGTTAGAGCTCGACAACTGTCTCTCTGTAGCTCAGTTGGTTAGAGCTCGACAACTGTCTCTCTGTAGCTCAGTTGGTTAGAGCTCGACAACTGTCTCTCTGTAGCTCAGTTGGTTGGAGCTCGACAACTGTTTCTCTGTAGCTCAGTTGGTTGGAGCTCGACAACTGTCTCTCTGTAGCTCAGTTGGTTAGAGCTCGACAACTGTCTCTCTGTAGCTCAGTTGGTTGGAGCTCGACAACTGTCTCTCTGTAGCTCAGTTGGTTAGAGCTCGACAGCTGTCTCTCTGTAGCTCAGTTGGTTAGAGCTCGACAGCTGTCTCCCTGTAGCTCAGTTGGTTAGAGCTCGACAACTGTCTCTCTGTAGCTCAGTTGGTTAGAGCTCGACAACTGTCTCTCTGTAGCTCAGTTGGTTGGGGCTCGACAACTGTCTCTCTGTAGCTCAGTTGGTTAGAGCTCGACAACTGTCTCTCTGTAGCTCACTTGGTTAGAGCTCAACAACTGTCTCTCTGTAGCTCAGTTGGTTAGAGCTCGACA